CAGGTTTTTTTTTCACAAGTTTCTTGACAGGCCTGCAAGACTGTGGGGCTGCATCAGTATCAGCCCAACGATCAGAATCAGAATCAGACTTTGTCTGTCGGGTTTTAGGGACTGCAGGGACTGTACAAGCCTGTGGGACTGCAGAACTCTTGCAAAACTCCTGCCAGGCTTTGAAGATGGCCTCTCCCATTTTGGGTGGATACAGACCACTGCCTTTCAGTTCGTCAGAGCCAGTCTTGGCAACAGTGCCATCTGGAAGCTTTTTCGACGTCATGAGTGGAATATGATCCACTGAACAATTGCACTTCTGCACAGCCTGTTTAAGCCACTGCCCAACAGCCATGAACTTGTAGGTCTTCTTATATGTGGGTTTTTCCTCGACATATGCACACCTCGGCAGATAGAAATAATTCAACTTGCAGTCTGGCACTTCGGACAGTCGGTCAATGTGCTCCTTGAGGAAGGAGAACATACTGGAGTTGACTGGGTTCTCAAAGATGACGTGGACTCCTCTTGCCAAAGCCAGGGCTAGAAGCCAAAAAGACAGTCCTTGGCTTGGCCCCAAACATGCAGTTACAACNNATCTTTCTTGCCTGCAAGTATCTGGCCATCAAGTTTCCTGATCGAACTTTTGGGTTCTCTTCGTCACCAGCAAAGTTGCCCTTCTTCCTCTTTGTCCAATGGATACATGGAAATGAGAAAGAGCTACAGTCTGGCGCCAAACAAAGCAGAGCACCTGCTTTCCTGAGTGATTCAACAGAACAAGGTCACAGAGACATGTCCAATGAAGAGCCTGGCTATCTCATTCTGGCTAAGTCTCAATCTAAGAACCATTTTCGTGGCTTGGAAGAAGCCATGTGGTGTTAATACATCTGCCTGGTGGTTGTTGGTGTAGTCAAAACTGTCTGCAGACAGACCTCTGGCATGTGCACATCTCACAATAGATGTGGATACACTGAACACCTCTAGGACATCGAGGTCCCGAGGTGCATCATCTGACAGCACTTCCAGGACCTCAAGAACTGACCAGCCAAAGATAGTAAGTGTACATGCAACAGCCACTTCTCGCCGGAACATGACTTTTCTAAAACAAGCTACTCAGAGCACTTATGGCCTGCGGGACTGCAGGACTGCCAGCCTGTGTCTTGAGCACTGGATACCAAGAATCATGGTGCAATTAGAAAGATGCACAGTTAAAGCAAAGACTTGGCCAAAGGATTTTTGTCCACCAATCCCCAAGAACTGCTCAACAGCATCGAATTGGTCTCTGCCAGAAGTCTCTGAGACTGCTGGACTGCAGACTGAGGCCTGGTCAGAGATAAAGCTCAGCTGCGCTTGAAACGTACCATGAGCCTCCAGCAACTACTCGGCAGTACTGGGAGCTGAGCATTTCCTTCAGACATAGCTAGAAAAGAACGTGGGGCCTGTTGCATAAATGTCAGCTCATACACGACATATTTTCTGTCCATCATCAAACTGTTGAGTGCCTGGGCTGCTCTTGGCAGCATGTACTTGCCAGAACACAAATCTGCCAACATGGCAAATGTCTTCAACTGTGCCTCAGTCAGAGGGACCATTGCATGCACAGCTCGTGGGCTGCTGCCACAGATGCGAGACAAGCGCTCTGTAGTGCATATCAGCAAAGGTGGCTGAGAGAGAAGCAAGTCCCTGACATACATCTTGACACAGGCATAGACAGCATGAGGCTCGACAGGCTTGTCCAACATGTTCCTGTGTCTCACAGACAAGCACTCCCCTGTCACCAGCATGAAACAGTGTGGAATCTCCGGACTGTCTGTCTGCTCACCTCCCCGATCCAGTGCACGAGGACGGAATGAATTGTAGAACTCAACTCCCATGGGTTGCAGCCAGGACTCAAAGTTCCGGACACCAGACACATGTCGAGCAAGAAGCTGACCACGTGGGACTGCGTGACTGTTGGACTGTAGGCCTGAAGCTGGATGAGAGCAAATTTGTCATTATGGAATGTTGTGAAGGATTCCACAAAAAAATGAAGGAAAGTCTGATTCCACAATACAGACAAGGGGCCTGCATGGATGTAGTCCAATATTTCTTGGGGTGTCTCCCAAGTGGACTTGCGCTTCATGATAGAGAACACTACAGCAAACAGTTGATCAATGTCTTCATGTGTGTGTCCGACCATAAGGTGGAAAAGAGTTGCAGACTTGAACAGCTTCCTCCCGACCAAGTAGGCCAGATATCGCATAACAAATTGGTTCTTGGCACTTTTCACAGTGTTGTCAGCCACAACCACCAAATGTGCAGGAAACACACGTTTCGACTGCAGACTGTGGGACTGTGAGCCTGTGGGACTGTCAGACTGGCACAGCTTCCAGACATTCTCAATAGACTGTGAGAGCACCTCACAAAAATAGTCTGAACCACCAATGACATTGGGGTTGGCCATGTACAGGTACGTCCCCCACCCATGGGCAATGGCTCCAGTAAAGGTGACTGTGGGCCTGGCAACATTGTCTAGTTCATGTGGGACCTTTCGGAAACCCCATCTGGGCCATGCAAATTTGCTGTGATCCATGTCGTCAATAATAATTGTCAGAACAGATCCAGCTCCACATGCTGGCAAATTATCATCACCTACAGCAGCTGCTTGGGTTTGCGAGGCAAACCGAAGTGACCAGTACAATACTCGGTCTTCATACTGTTCCTGATGATGTTTTCGCAAGGTCTTGGCAGCCTCCATCTTTTTGGACCACGGGACTGAGGGACTGTGAAGAACAAGCTGCAGGTCAAAGCAAATCTGACACTGTTTGTGTTGAGACTTCTCACGCATACGCAGCATGTTCGACCAGTGACTGTTCCATCTTCTCCGAAAGGTGTCATAAGAGGGCATGTCTGCACCGAACTCTTCATGTGCCTCCTTCAGGACACTCCATTCTGCCTGAAATTGCCAGTAGAGGTCTGAGATCTTGCACTTTTGGATATATCTCCTGGGGAGACCACCTGCAAGAGCCAAACCTGATACTGCCAGTGGGGGAGATACATGCTCATAGAGGCTGTCCTGCAAACATTGGAATCACAAGCAAAACAGAATCCAGCAAACTTGCAGTCTGATCTGCTGTCCTGGTCCCAGGGGTCGTCCATGACCGCCTCGTCGTCCTCAGGCATAGACTCGGCCACAGCCTGGTGCAACTCCCTGAAAAAGTGGTCACATTTGACTGTAGCAAGTGCTTCTTTGCTCTGTTTCCCAAGCCTGTGACCGGGAAAACCAGCCCTTCTCATGTCTGGAACACCCTTGATGTATTTGCGCATGGTGCTTTGCCCACAGCCAAGCTTGCGGCAGAAATTCACAAAGCACACAGGCTTGTCCCCAATCACATAGCTCCTGGACACCCTCGGGACTGAGGGACTGCTGGACTGTGGGGGACTGTCAGTGCCCTGTTCCAACTCACCATAGGTGGACTGCAGCAGATGTACACGGTCCTCTGTCGTCAATCTCCAAAAACCTGAACACAGTGTCTGCAGATCTTTGAGGTCCAAACCCTGTGAAGCACAAGCTGGAAAGTTACAGTTTGGTCTTTTGCAATGTTCTCGCCAACGTGCACGTACTTTGTCTGCATCAAGGCCATTCTTGTCATAGCTAGTCATTTTTTTCTCAGCAGCAGCAGAACACAAAAGCCGACAACCACCTTCCAATGCCAGCACTCTTTTACGACTGTGGGACTGGCAGACTGCTGACTCTTCCCATGGATCAGAGTCTGATTGGCACTCCTTTTCCTCATTGCAGCCATATGCAGTTTCCCAAGGATCAGAAAGTGCATCATCCCAAGGGTCAGACAGCTCTTGGTCTTCTTCTAGAAGGCATATGTTGGCCTTTTTTTTCAGTCGTCTAGTTTTGCGCGGCATGGAAACTTGAGCCAAAAGCTATATACAAGTAAGGTCTTGGGCAACACACAGAGGACAATTGTGCAACTTCAGCCAAGAAACTCTTCAGACACAGGCTTGCAACAACTTTTTGACGACACTAATCCTTGGAGGACTTCGAGTCTTTGGCAGCCTTCAACTTCTCAAGCTTTGCTTGT